CATTAGATGCACACATAGACTTAAAGTCCATTGTTGCCGGATACGGAACCTACGACCTCAAGGATAAGGGAAGTATTAACATAAAGTATTATAAAATGTGACACAATTAAGAAATTCTATACAGTTGTCATAAAACTTGCTATACAATACTCTTCTTCTCCTGTAAGTACGTTTTTAATCACAATATACTTAATTGCTTTGTTCCATAGTTTTATAATAGTTTTGTCTAAATCCGTTACACATCGTTTTGCACTCCTTGCGCTCACCTTACCTTTATTTTTTTTCTCATAGTAATTGCCTGAATGAGATCGCTTGAAAGCGATAAGGCCGACAGATGCTTTCCTTTTTATTTAATTATTTTAATTGTACTGCATTTATATGCAACGAAGTAAATAATTAAAAAATATATACCCTCATACGCAGTCCAGTGTACATAATATGTAATATAGAACGTCACTGTTTGTCTTAATTACCTTAAAAACCTTAACGTCGTCGGCAAACAATAGGACTTAAGAAGATTTAATAATTGTTCGGGTTTTTAAATTTTAACACATTTTTATCGAATTCAGTTGAATTTAAATTTATAATAGTAGTATTGTCTTTTATTGACATAACCTTTACACATTTAAAGAAAAAACTTTTAAACCGGATTATAGTTATGTAGTATTATAAATTTACAATTATTTAACATAATTTTAAATTTATTAGATTATTTTTTATTATATTATTAGTTTTTAAAACCACGCACGCTAAACGTCGGATAAATTTAAAATTATGTTAAATAATTGTAAATTTATAATACTACATAACTTTAAAATAGTATTTATCACCTACTAACTCTATATATTAGACAATTAGTAACATACTAATTTACACCATTGCTGCGAAATTATCAAGAAAAGCCCGAAAGTCAATTAATTTAGATATATTTATAGAGTAGGAGACAACCGGGCACGAGGCTTTCGTAAGTACCGCCGTCGGCCATGGACACTCACACTGCCAGTTCGCAGGTGCGGACCAGTCTAAAAATGCTAGGGTCTTTTCTCGCCCCAATTTGAAATGGTAGCTGGTTCCATAAAGTGCCCAATATAAGCTTAGTTGTGGAGCAACGGACGTCGAGTTGATAGGGGTGGAATTTCGTATTCTATCTCGACGTCTGCAGATGAATCCATTATGTGTAATCCTAATTTAAAAGCAGTTCGAAATATAATTTTTAAATTTGGAAGTATCCTTTTGAAATGCGTTCACAAAAGCTATTTCCCATGATATTCATTTATCTTAGATTTTATAACTTTTTATATTAAATTTATCTATTACAGACAAATATTCTAATTTTTAATTATACTAAGTGTTGATAATTAAAACAGAATATATTTTGATAACATAGTTTATTGAAAATAATTAACATTTCATTTCCCTTGCGTTACTTATATTCGAAAATATCATAGCCTCTATACAAAATTATATAACGTGAATTTAAAAAGCGTTTACATTTAATTTACATTAAGTACGTAAGTAATCCTAATAACTAGACTAGACAGGTATAATTAAAAATATACAGCCTTAGTCTAACAAATAATATTATAGCGAGCTGTGTTATTTCTCGGGCGAGAATGCCTTGGAGCTTTCACACAAATAATGATGTTAGGCGATGGCCACAGCTTTAAGGTGAAAAGCTGTCGCGTAGTGTCGCGCCGAATGAGCCGCAGCGTCAAAGGGTTTAATTACGCATTAAAAACAATTGAAAATGCCGAGGCGCGAGATTCGAAGTAGCTTGCATAGCAATAATTCTATAGGGTAACAGAGTTGTTATAAGTCGGTCGAAGTCAGTGCTAAGCCGAATTGCGGCCAAGCCAAGTTTATAAAATATTGTTCTTTGCTCAGTCTGACTTCTTTTGTTTTGGTATGGTTATAAAGGTTTTATGTTATATCTAAAGATTAGATACAAATGTAATAAAGTATTTGATGCAAAAACTTATTCAAATAAAAAAAGTATCAATTAGAAAATAATTTCCAGTTTTTTATAGTAATTTTTCTGTGTGCGTAAATGTGCGTGGGCGCGCTAGATTCGCTTCTTAGTCGCTTAAGTCACCGATTTCCATTGCTTGGCATAGACCCAATTCGACACTGAATACTATGAACGTAAGCGATGGGTTTTGTCATATAGAACACATTGGGTGATCTCTAAGTGTCCACCTAGCCTTATTAAGTTTTGTAAACCGACTCGCGCATTATTTAATTGGAATTCACTATTTTTACAAAATATACGGAAGATAATAAATATTAGTTTTAAAGCGCTATAAGTTTTATAACATTTTGATGCCGACATTCCTAATATTTTTTACATCAGATATATATACACTATGTTTAACGTTAAGGGGTGTTTCACAATGTATGGATAAAGTACCAAATAGCTATGCAACGCTTAAATTATTTGGAAGATAAATTTTGCTATTTGACACTTCATCGGACTCATAACTTTTGATGGACGAATAGCGCTATCTGACAGTCGTGAAACGCAACAATAGTGTTTAAAGTTTATCCTACCAATAAGTAATAAATAGCTAATTTGGAACTCATGTAGAACTTATCCGTACATTGTGAAACAGACCCTTAATCTACTTAAATCTATCTATAAGACATTATAGCTGAAATTCCGGTTTTGAAAAAGTTTAAAAAAAGGTTTAAATTATTGAAATTGAACGCAAAACATAATATGAATATTATTTATTTGTTTCACAAATTAGAGACTTTTAAATATCCCTTGGGCATGGGGTAAACATTATTACGTCGTGATGCTGATCAATTTTGTTCGGTAGGTTTACTATGCCGGAATAATTGCCCCTTTGAGAATCGAATCCGTAATCATTAAAGCGATAAACAGAGAAATTAAAAATAAACTAAAATTAAAAAATAAAATCACACTCAATCTAACGCTGGCCGATACCGACTGCTGTACTGCAGTGTAGTGTCTTCTCTCAGCTGGGGATACAAAGTATGAAATATTCCATGCTGTTCTCTTGATTGTAGTATTGGACGCACCCACATACTACGGTGTCTTCTACGCCTATGCTTGCGTAATAATAGTACAAGTAGCAGTGTTTCTTTATCGAATTCCATCTTGTAAATGAACTCGCATCAGTATTATTTTGCGGTCGAACACAACTGCTCCAAGCAGTCGTAGTCGACTGCTCTACAGCAGTCGGTATCGGCTGCAACATGCGGTCCGTCTATGGCCAGCTTCAGAATCACTGTCTTGTTTTGGCACTTTATAATATATCTATTTCAGTATCTACACGTCTAAATCTCTAGTCTTTGCTATGTAATATGCTATGGAGTATTGGAGGGATTTCTAATTTTGCCGATTTGTTTTATTAGGAACTAAGTCGCGCAGCTCCATGTGAAACATATCTTTTTGAAATAACAACTGTGGTAAGAATTAATTTTTGAGTATTGATTAAGACTTTTTTCTTCTATAAGCAAATAGTATAGGATGTATTTTTAAAACCCTTTTGACATCGATTTAGTCTACTTATAAGCAATTATTATATTAATTGGTTCCATTCCACATTCACTTATAATTAATATCACTTTTGGCGCTAATATATTAAATTATTTTAAAATAGTAAGACATACTTATACGTTAGATACAGCTAAACTTTAAAATGACTTTCTCTTGGCTAAATAGTCAACGAACCAAGCTGGAAATCTTTTTACAAATAAATGCAGTAAAACTGAATACAGACCAGTGATGCCAACGTACTATTTTATACAATTTATATTTGCCTAGAACCCAACCAAATCAAATCAAAGCGTGGCTATAACTTAAATATCAAAAAAGTATGAATTTTTGATGCAAATTTGAAATTACCTTTCGAACCGAGTACAACAAAAACTTTAAGGGTTTTTATTTAGAGATATTTGAAGTTGGTCGGTTGGTGGTTGGTTCTAGAACAATCTGTAGGAGTTGGCATAGCATACTAATGTTTCGTCACTCATGTCTCGAAGTGTGTGGACGTGCTCATAGTAGACATTGCTTACATACTTTACTAATATTAAATACTCGTCTAGCGTTTTTAGAATGTGCGCTGAGCAGCATCAGCATCAACAGCCATTTGTTTGCATGCTTATTTCGAGCATATCAGGCATAGGCATGCCTATGACCTGTATCTAATGATGTCTAAATGCTTTTTAATGACAACATTATTTGCTTTATCTAAAAATTCAAAATACACGAAAGGCATTTTAACATTTTCATTGCCATAAATGTAAGGTCGTTCAGCAGGATTACGTTCGCCGTTAAAGAATAGCATAAGATAAGAATAAAGATTAAATATATACGATGCTCTGTTGAATTATACGCTGGCTTTTGTTTTGAGGCTTTTAGTTTTTGAGTTCTTGTAAATGGAATAATACGGAATAAAGTACTGCCTTGCGATTCTGTAACTCACTTTTCGAACTCACACAGCGGTTTCCGCAGCGGTGGTCGCGCTCAAAACTGTCGTGAAGCAGCCATTTTATGATTTGGCATTCTGATAAACAATAAATTACAAGCTTCCTCCTTATCAGAATCGCAAGGCTGTACATCCAAATGAATTATTTTAAACGTGAGTATGTTTTAATTAACCTTACATATAAAAGGCACTGCCCAATATTTACAATAATGAATAAGCTTTGTAAGGATTACTTTACTTTCATAATTTTTTGTGGTACCTAAATTGGAAAATCATAACTCCAAAAGGGAGAATGGTAAAATGGTGTCTCAAATAATTGACGCACTTTCAAAAAATCCCAAGGCATGTTTTTAGTCAATCTTACATCGAAAACATTTATTACAAGCGTTAAGCTAAAATATATTTACATTTATACATCAACGTTACTTCTAATGGCAGAAAATTAACAATAATTTTCATGTCTTCTCAATTCCACAGCAAATGTAAGCTCCTCATAATAATTTGTTTTATTTCTATAGTATTGCATCAGAAGGTATAAAATCGCTATTATAGATGAGTTTCCTCGCCAGATTCGCTACACGGTAACCTAACTACTTTGGCTCCCGCTAGAACTCCTACACCTTCCAAACAGGACCGTCTATTCGAAAGAACGTCCCTCAAGAATGCTCTTCTGGGGCCAGCGAAGTCAGTTCCAGTTATAGATCTAGTTAACTTGCGCAGGGCTGGCAGTTTTAGCGCTTCTTCATAAGAAGGGGGTTCATCCGTAGGCGTTGTTTGTTCTCGACCACCAAAAGGATCTCTAGACGAAATAGGGGACAACTCCCTGGAGTAATAGACAGCGTTTTCCCTTTGTCTAGGTACTGTCTCTGGTATTTGCTCATAATTGACGTTACTAGCTAAATCGTCTATGATCTGTCTTGCACTCCTTGCCGATGTAATGACTCCCGCCCACGACCTTCGATTCAGCTGCTTGGCTTGATTTATATCAGCAATGTTGTGGCTGGAGTGCGTACCAGTTATAGTTACTTTGGCCCGTCGAGGAGGTTCATCGAAGGATGCAGCTTTGATAGCTGGTCGGGGTCTCTCAGATTCTATGTCTATAAGAACTCCAGGGTTCGAAGCGTTATCAGCAGGTTCTTCCCGTAAGGCTGCATCTATACGCATGGCTTCTGAGTAAGATGGAACAATGGCACAATTACCTCGGATTGCTGCGAAGAGTTCTAGGCTATCAACGGTTGAGGCGTGGGAAAGAGGAAGGGTTCTTGGTGGCCTTGGGGCCGAACAAAGAACTGCGCTCTGCTCGTCTGCAAGAGCCCAAGCGTAATTAGTTGCTGGCACTGGAGGCATAGTGTCTGAGAGATGTGTGTCTAAGTCTAGTTGTCTACTCGGATCCAGTTCGTAATTTGTGCCGAATATCTTTGTTATCTATAAAAAAAATGTGATTTACAAAGTAAGTGCATAAAAATGTCTAAGAATGTCATTGAATTTAACTTTTGAACGTGTTTAACAAACATGTTTTAAAGTTTTATCTAACAATAAAAATGTTAATTATTTTACCGTATAATGCACATACGCCGTGTTGCATTCTATCACGATCCTAAGGGGCCAGGATAGGAGAAGACAAGACAAGCTCCAGAATAGTAGTTGAGAGGCATACCACGGACATCGATCGGTATCCCTGTAACAATATCGTGTATAAAGAATTCTAGTTAACTGCAAATACTTAAATTCATTGTTTACAGTAAATTAGGTTAGAATATTTTAAGACCATGCTTTTTAGCTGGTTGTAATCTGTTTTTTCTCTAACACACTGTTCTCTAATGTACAAGAATAAATCATTTTTATGAAGGCAAACACTACAGTTTCCGTAAACTTTCTTTTGAGATCAATTGGTCACTTAGTTTGTTCAACTCCTTAAACATGGAAGTCCTAAGTTAATAAGGAAAACAAAGGAGCACTTGGAATTGGCACAAAAGGCACAAAAGGTGAGCTCGGTTAAAAAAAAAATCAGTGGCGCTACAACCTCTTTAGGTCTTGGCCTCAGATTTCTGAATCTGTTTCATGATCAGTTTTAAATCTAATAGGCAAGTAGGTTTCCTCACGATGTTTTGCTTCACCGTTCGAGAAAATGTTAAATGCGCACATAGAAAGAAAGTCCATTCACATTCAATTCCAAGTCCAAGAACCTACGACCTCAGGTATGAGAGTCGCACGCTCAAGGCACTAGGCCAACACTCGCTCGGTTAAATTAAAGATTATTCTTAAAACAGCCACTGGAAATATTTAACACATAATGAATACTCACCTATAAGCTACCATATACTCCTTGAACGAACTGACTCCAATTAAATCTAACCCCTCACGCATTTCCATAAAATCATCAAACCTTTCATGTTCCGCGAAGAATCTTGACCTTTGATCTTCGAATTCTGCAAAAATTATTACTCAAGATGAGCTTTCGAGGAAAATTAATTTAAAACTTCTTTGTTGTATCGTTCAGTTCATACAAATGGAATATCGTTCCCGCGGGAGCTAGCGGAACGTTCGTTGGCAAAAGATAAATTTTCATCAAAACGATGTTTTTACAAATTTGCACAGTTAATTGCTTGTATTTCAACGTTTAAAATATAAGGGAAGTGGTTTAATTTAATAAAATAAAGGTGGTTATAGCATTTTTTATGTTTTTGTTAATTTAGTAAAATATTTGTTCACAAAAACAAAGATTTATATTATTATAAAATACTAGCTGACCCGGAAAACGTTGTTTTGCCATGTATATTATTTCTAGGAAACATTTTTTAGTTACACCAAAATTACTATCTACAATAATAAAAAAGGGGTAGATCCTAGAGGGGTGAAAATTAGGGGTTGTATGTATTTTTGTATGTTGTATCATAAAAAAAATAAAAACAAAAAAATTGTCTAAAAAATAAAAAATAAATTTTTGGGGTTGACACCCCTTATAACTTAGGGGTTTGAAAGACAGATAGTACTGAGTATGCATAAAAAATTTCATAAGAATCGGTCGAGGAGTATGGGAACGAATATTATGACATGAGAATTTTATATATTAGATAAAAGACTTGTGAATCTGTTATTTTTCCCTACTGTTTTTTATAATAAATAACTGTTAACTGTAAACATGATTAAATGCGTATACCCTAAGTTAGTTAGTATTAAGAAGTATAATGAATTGAAATTTTCCGCCGGTTCAAAAATGATTCCCGAATAGCGTAAATACCAATACACGATTTCCTTATCAAATCACGTTATATTTTGCAAACGTTTCCCGTAACTTGGTTTGCGGGCTCCGTCTGCCATATTAAACTTAATTCAATCTTGTTCTCTATTGGATCTAAAATCTAATTATAACTCATATGCAAATTGTAACGTCCTTGGGTACGATAAGTTTTTCTCTAACATGCAAATTAATTCTGGCGTACTTTATGCGGTCTTTATCTCTCAACCCCATAATTATTATACATTAAATTAAAAGACCGTGTATATTATTATGGAGCAAATAGGTAGATTTTTCAGTCATCTTTAGCCGGGGGATGCGGAAATACCTGTGCATTAACACCTCGGATATAAAAAAGGTTTTATGAGGCTTTAGCGGCATTCCCAGTCTTTTAGGGTGAATATTAACACAAATATGATATTTTATAGATTACTAGCTGACCCGGCAAACGTCGTTTTGCCATGTATATTATTTCTAGGAAACATTTTTTAGTTCAATAAAAATAACTACCTACTATAATACAAAATAGGGATTGATCGTAGAGGGGTGAAAATTAGAGTTTGTATGTATTTTTGTACGCTGTATCATAAAAAACTAAAAACAAAAATAAATTGTCCAATAAATATAAAAAATATTTTGAGGTGGACACCCCTTATCACTTAGGGGTATGAAAAATAGATAGTAGCCGAGTCTCAGACCTACTGAATATGCATATAAAATTTGATAAAAATCGGTCAAGCCGTTTCGGAGGAGTATGGTAACTAACATTGTGACACGAGAATTTTATCTATAAGACACGAGAATTTTATATGTAATGAAAGCGTGAATACAATTTATTAGCAGAAATTCTATTTGGTATAACTTAGGTTTTAAGTTTATTACAATCATATCAATGGAAAGCACAGTGAACATTATGTTTTTATTAATATAGATAGTTACATCTCGATAAAGCTTTTATTGGCAACAAAAGTGAAATGAAAATCCGAGTTTTATTGCTCTAGCCAGCTTTCGTTTTCAATAAAAATGGTCATACACGCGAATAATTGTAATGTTTCGAAATATCAATGTTCAATAGTTATGCTCTTAATTCTAAATTTGAAATCTGAAAATGAACATTTTACACATATGATACCAACAATTCGAACAATTTATTAATTGCACGTGCAACTTCAGTTTTGCATGACACGTGATCAACGATTGATTCATCTGCCTTCGGACTTATCTTGAAGACCATAAGATATTATTTATGTATAACTAAAAGAACTAATACTAATTATATTGCCCTATTAAGTTATAGTTTGTAGTGGTTTTTGCAGTGGATTTCTAAGGCAATTAAAATCATGAAATATCGGTACATCGGTATTTTTAGGACGGATATTTGAACAAACTATCAGTCATGCCTTGTTGGAATTTCATCCTAGTATGAACATCATGAAATACATAGTGGACTATTTATTTATAGAACAGAAGTAGAAGGCTTACTTGATGTTAAGTATTACCACCCATAGACACTGCCAGAAGGCGCGCAAGCCTGCACTCATGTGTACTATAATATGGCATGCGTACATGACCAATCTAAGTATGATTGGCCACCGTTAGGACATAATTTGTATGTAATATATTTTCTATACATACCGCTAGCCGCTTCAATGTTTGCAAAAGCGAATCCTTTGCTGAACCTCACTTTGGTGATAGGGGTTTTCGTGTCCAAAACCAAGTTTCGTGATGCGTCCCGTTGTCCACAACAAGCATGTGCGAATGATGTACTAGCACTGTGAGTGTTCACTCGTTCGTAATATACCTAAAGAATACAGAAAATATTGAAAATCGAATTTACAATTGAAAGAAGGAAAATTTATTCAGTCATAACGAAGGTTCTTATTTCAAAATAAAGCCATATACAGACATGGGGCTCCATAAGAAGACTCCAACCCTGATATTATGCAGCCCCTTAGGTGTGGCGCGCTGTCATCAGTTTTATTAGGTAAAAAAAATGTTGCCCAACTTTAATTAGCTTTTGTGTACATGTCGTGAATTTTCGGAAAAATAATAGTTTTCAACTTCGAAGGCACAGAGAAACACTAACGCTTTGATCAATAGTTTCACTATATTTTATAGAATTTTTCTGTGAAGAACAACGGCAGTCTATGGACAAATTGACGACTCGTAGCAATTGCGACTTGTAGATATTTTCATATGGAAACGGGACCTAACTCAACTTGAAAGGATGAATGAAACAGATGCATAAATGTTATTGCCGTGTCATATTGAAGTGTCACAAGTCATCTAATTTTTATTATAAACAAATAAATCGTTATAAATAAGAATAGTAGAAAATGTAGATGCTGGCTCCTAATTTCTTGCATCAAAACTCAAATCAATTACGAAAAATTATTATGGATAAATTAAGAAGGAATTGGGCACAGAACTACTAGAATTTTGATGACGCTGTGGTCAACGTAGAAATTCTATGATCTATGGAAAGATTCTGTAGCAATGGTAACAAACGTTTTTTTCACGTAGCAGCTATAAATCATTAGCGTCGCATTTCAAAATGTTTCATGAAATGCGCTATAAATTGAAATGTAGCGAAAATTTTTCGTTCATAAAAACAATAGACGCTCCACAGACGTAACAAAATGCTTACCCACGCTGAAATTACATTTTAACTTGACATTTTAAACAATGCAGTAATTTGTGTACGTTTTAAGAACAGTTTTCTATATTTTTTTGTTGTGTGTTTATAAGTACGTAATTTCTATTATTACGTGAATATTTATTATAAACGGTTATATTTGTGTTTGATCTGATTTGATCATGCATAGCACAGAGTTTTCATACATTGTTTTAAGGCAAGTGATCAATCGATCGAATTTTGGCGGGAATCAAATCTGCAGTCTGTGCACCACTTGCATCTGTCACTATAAGCCATAAAGGCAGTTTGCTTTCTTTGTATATTATATTATAAAGGGAATAGTTTAGTAAGAAAATACGCTAATAAAGATACTGAAATTTATGATCAAAATAGACTTTGAATTGCATGCCCATAGGTCAAATGTACAGTCAGCTTAAAAGTTTTATTTATCAATTGAAAACTATAGTTATAGTTTTAATGTGTTATTTATTTGGAATCAATTAGATCATCGCTTAGGCATGTTGATAGACTTGTTCACAACGCATATAGGTCAACTTGATTAAGTTGTTTTTTTTATTTTAAACAATTTTAAATTAATATAATAGAGTATGTTGTATTTAAATTGTAGACTATTCATAAAATGTCATCTGTCACCCAGCGTGGGCGAATGTATTTTTTTTCATAAAACCGTGACCTGCCAAAGTCTGTTTCATAAAATTCAAATCGTTCATAAACAATAATATATATTATTTTACATTTTCTTACTGACTGTACCTTACCTACACGCATATATCGGCTGAAACTGCTCGTATTAATATGCATGAAGCATGGTTCAGGTGACTTATACTCTATTGCTTAATAAAATATCACATGTATAAATTTAATATAGCTAGCTAACGGTCAATGACCATGAATATTAATGAGAGTTTCCCATTTGTTTTAAGCTTTTGTATAAAGCGTATCGAAAAATATCTGGCTTTTATGTAAATGGTTGCTTAGCAACGTAAAAACTTTTAAATATTCAAATATAGAATACATAGAGAAGGTCGCTAATATTGACATTAACTAAATTGTTATTTTACGGTGACTACAATGAGTTTAAATTAACGTTTTGCGCGTAATTCAATTATATATACGAAAACAAGCGTTTTATCAAAATTAGTGTTCAATTACGGGCATAACAAGATTAATTTAGGATTTAAAAACATATTACAGAATTACTGAAACAAAAAACTTGTCGATTAAAAAGAGTGGCAGAGAGTTTATTGCCAGTTCTTCTCTTCCGTTCTACGCCCTTGATTTGAGAACTGGCAATTAATGTAAAATTAGAAGCATTTAATATGCATTTCTTTTTTTTGACGTTCATAAGTGTACATTGTGTTATCTAATTGAATAAACGACTGATTTTATTTGATTTGATTCATCTTTACATCAGAAATTTGTCTTATAATTATTTTTATATCAAACGAAGCAATAATCTATATTAAAATATCTAAATTTATTCTCTGTATATACTTTAGTTTGACCCATATTATCTAAATTCCTTTTCTATAAAAATATCGAATGTGTCACGCTATCGCTTTGTGCCACAGAGGAAGGCATTGTCGATATTTTGCATAGAAATTTCACGTTGGGGTTGCTTGTGTAGTATTTTATCACTGGAAAGTTTCAAATCTACATGTATGACAACTATTTACTATACGCTTCATGCATTGTGTTTTAAAGTGTGAATTGTACACTATCTCATAATTTATTTTTCGATTTTTACATTGGAAATTAGTAAACGTTTGTTTGACGTTGTGTTTAATTTATTGTTATAATGGGCGTCAACGCCATTAGGTTGTGTTAAAAGTTTTTTATTCGCTAACATATTTTATCTTTAAACTGTCATAGTTATATTACCTGTTAGTTTGTCTCACAAGAATGGCAGGATTTGGACCGATTTGGCTAATCTTGAAATATTTGTGGAAGTTCAGGAAAGGTTTAAATGGTGGGAAACATAAATAATAAGTAAATAAAAAAACTAAAAACAAGAATTTTTCAATAAAAACTGTTCCTAGCTGGGAAATATTTGATTACTTTTGTCTTTTTAGAAATAATTGTCATAAATATATTTATACATGCCTTGAGAAATTTGTTTCATAGGTGTACTTAGTATGAAATCTCAATGGTCTGTTTTTAAAATGATGTATTAAGTTTTGACACAAATATGTGTAGGTGATACGAAGTTCATCGGGTCATCTAGTAAAATATATAATATTCATAGTTATTTCTTGTGGGGGAAGCATCAGTTTTCAATATTAGTAATATATATATTTTTTTAATTTCTTACCTGTGTAGTTGTATAGGCGTCTCCATTCCTATACCTCGTAACTTGCCGCTTTCTTCTCACGTAGTGATAGCAAATTGCTTTCCACCTAACGATAAAAATTATCATCAATACAAAATAGTAAAAAATAATCATTATTATAGCCTTAATTAATTAATTTCGAATATTTGAAGATAAATTATGCATTTATGTATTATGTATGTATGTATTAATTCTAAATTCTTTACCTAACACTATACATATCTACATAATCATAGCTTAAGTATTGTTACGATGAAAGTTGAATGAAATGTTTCTCGATTTTTCTACCAGAGACGTTTTCAGCAATCTGAAATGTGTTACGTTCTATAATCATACATCATAGTGTATTTTTAGTGCAATTAAATTCTTGGAAGACAAGACGGAACAATGAATGTTTTTCCTTAGTCCGCAAGTTCCGTCGGACGCCGGTGAACCGTTAAATTAGATCAACCTTTTCCGTGTCTAGGGCACTTGAACGATGCTAATGAAACTGACTCTCAGATTTTTGACTCACTATTTAATTGGATAAGTTTTAGACGGTAATTCTTTCTCATAGATTTTATTTATTTATTAACTGAAATTTACAGCCTTCCATACATTTTACAGGTAACAATTATTAAGGCATGTATATAGATCGAATCTACACTAGACATATTAAATCCCCTCGCGATTCTTCAAAAAATATATCCTTAAAATACCATCAGACATTTAATGTCACTAAATCGGATTTTACAACACAGGCTTCAGATACACAAATACACACCCACAGCCTTGTGCATTCTCTCTTTCAAATAATAATTGTTTATATTTTTTTTAATTGGCGTTTCGCTTATAGTTAAGTAAGTTTTAAGGTTTTTCTAAATAAATAACGAGACCATTTACAGATTTTTACTTTGTAAGTAATATTGAGAAATAAAGCAAACATTTGTTGATATCAAAAGGTCGAATTTTAACTTATTAATATTTCTGTCCTACAAGAAACAAATGCAGCAGTTGAAACTTCTTTTAGTCATAGAAAAAATATCTAAACTGGGTACGGCTTATATAAATAATAATAATAACAAAAACTACTTGTAATTTTTTTGTTGCATTATATTATAGACGCTGGTGTGAACTAGGGACTGGGACCTTTCTGTGTTGAGAGTTAATACATGGTGTCTGGACAGGGTCACTCTTTATAATTAATGTTTATTTAATATCTTCTGTAAACATTCACATATTTTTGACATTGTATTTATTACATATATTTGAATACATGAGATGTTCTTTTGATAGGTATGTGACTGGGGCCGTGGGGCGTTAAAACCGTTAAAATCGTTTCCGCTCACAATAACTAAATTTACCAATAAAGTGTTGAATCGTGTCTTCTTGTTTTTAGAATGTGTTAGTTTTATTTTGTATATTATGGCTGTATACCCTTCATAGCTGAATTCTTGCTTCAACGACCTGATATGACGTCCACAGTCAACTTTTAACTATAAATTCTAAGTATTAATTACATAAATGTTGCAAGCGAATAAAAAATATTCTTGCAGCATACCCCGTTCAATTCCCGTTCCTCGTGTGTATCAGTTTTAAATATAAATGGTATTTTTTGCATTGTTGCAGCACAAAGTATTAGTAAACTAAAAATGGTACATAGTTGCAAATATTCCGGAGTACGTTATTGTAAGAATACCTTACATTTTGGCAAATTTTTGGCCATTGTTCTAACAAATTGTACCCAAATATAAGCTTTGTTTATTGTTTACGAACAGTCGGGTCGTATAAATTTATGGACGAATTGTTTTTCAGAGGATACTGGCATTGTTCATACATAAATATTTTAACTATTGTTATGTAACCTAACATAAGTTAAGTATATATTTTAGTTAATAACTAGAAGCGTAAACAAAATGTAAACAATCATAGCACACTTAAAGCCAATATGAGCCCTTTAGTTTTATCCACACTCATAAATTGTAATTTCACATTCTCGTTTCCGATAATGCGCAAAAGATCCACTACACTTGTATTGAAGTATCACTTAGATTTATGGACCTTAGATAAGCCAAGTTAGTTTTTTCTTGCGTCTCACTCCCACTACCCCTATTTTCTGTTAGTTATAAGCTCATATTTTAAACAACAAAGTGTTTCATTTAAAATATATCTGAACATCTCCATAAAACAACCGCCACCGAACTTAACTCTTTAAAGGTCTTTTATTTTCTTTATATAAATGCCGAATTCTTCACTCATGTAACCGGAGGTAAAGACTACGGGTGATATTCAAAGACAATACTTAGCTCTAAGTATGACTTCTTTACGTCAAACGCAATACATTTTTACATACGGGAGTTGTACTTAGTGCCTATAAATCGACTTCATGTAAACATTCTTAATAATAAAATTATTTTTAATTAATTTTTGTTCCACCAGTACAAACAAAAGGCTCACAATATTTTAATTTACTTAAATGAGATTTGTGACAAATAAACATGATTTTTATTATGCCATTTATTATTGTATCCCAGCTCATCTAAGAAAGCGTAAATTCATGTACTATAATGTTTTAAGTAAAATGAAAGAAACAAATTAAACAAATTGCTTTGGAAACTCAGCGAAGTTTTCTAATTAGGCTTTTTAATAAGGGTTAAGCGACAAATTATGAATCCTATTTTGTATAATGTAAACATTGGGTTTATGTTAATTTAAATATTTATTACCATACAGCCGACAAAGGGAGTCGAAGGTCAGCTTTAGGTTATAGAGGTCCTTAAGATTCTCAAGTAATTACTGTACAGTGGAGAAGTGATTCCAAAAAAAAACACAACAAAAATACAAGATCAAATTTCAATTTCTTTCACGTAAAATATATAAAAACTTATTACCGTTAAAAACGATATATTATCGATGCGATATATACGATTTTCAAACTAAAAGGTATATTGCAAATATAGACTTGTTAATTAAATTTATAATCTATGGCAATACTAGAAACTGTAGAACATTAGCGCATCTTAAATTGTCAAAAATAGATTAAGCTATTTGGCTAAAGCCCTTTGCCTTTCTCATTAGGGATAAATTAATATCATCATCATCATTAAGCTATTTGAATAATTTTAATAGTTGCTTCTTATTATTTTTCATATTATTTAAAATATATTTTGTTACCAAAATTTTATGAGAAACTTACTGCATGAACTGCATCTTTCCGATTCTACGTCTTTATCTGTATTCTTAAGATTTTTCTGTTAATGTGTTTGCGTACGTATAGGATGGGATAAAAAACTAAATTTATATTAAAGCTTTTATGTCTGAAATGATATACATTATCGTAATGCAGTATGTTATTAAATACGTGAAGGTTTACAGTTTTATATATTATGTTTAATTTTTAAATGCGTACCTTACTTAGGCACTGACTCAACTGAGTGCTTTACTGAGCACACCCTACATGCACACCCTCACACACATACCATCACACAACACAGCCGAATTATATTATTAATAATAATATTGCATTCAATATTTTTATTGATATCTCCCATTCATATATGTTTGAACCTTTTTGAATTATTATGTATTTCATCTTTGGCTATATCTTTAGTATATATTATTTTTTTGTTGTATATTATATAAAATAGTAAACAGTAGTAGATATTTAAGGGTTCCCATTATATTAACGTGTTACAGTCACCTTGTTTTCTTTCAAAGGTCTTAAGAAAAAACACGGAGTATAAAGAGAAAACAGTCATAAAACAGTTGAAGTATGCGTTGGAATGGAGCCAAAGTTTATAACAAGACCGTAGTTCAATCTCAAGGGTCAAATATTCACTTAAATTGTTCATTGAATACTTCTATTTAATTTAAATGCTATACAAATTATTTAAGAAGTTATTCCCTATCAACGTACCTACAACGAATAATTGTTTCTATGTAAAACTGTATAGTTTTAATAGAATTACTTGGATTTGTGTTTATACCCCAACTATTTAATAATTATCCATACGGCCTATAAAATTAAGCACGCTATTGCGACAGCGTACTCCCTGATCATAGCGCAGATGTTATACCAGTGGCGCTACAACCCTTGATCTTGGACTCCGATTTCTGAATGTTTCGTACGTTTCTTCAAATAGGCTAGTGGCGATTGGCCTTCTGTGCCTGGCACACGACGTTTTTGGGTCTAAGCATGCCGATTTTGGTACGAGCGAGTGTTAATTGCTAACGTAGACAGACTCCTTTAGTGCACAGCCGGGGCTGGAACCTACGACCTCAGTGATGAGAGTCGCAAGCTGGAGTCAACACTGCTGTAATACGCTATTAATAAAATATTACCGAGGTAAGTATATACAATAAACTTGCGTCATTAAGACCTTTTGATAATTTAAGTTACCTAACTAGTCAAACGGACGAAATACTATCCCCAGGATAAGACTAACAACAGGTCGACTTTATAAAAGAAAAATCTACCCAAATGATTCGTATGATATAGTCTCGAGCGTTAGAAAATCGCAGAATGGATTATGTTTTTCTATTATTTGAGTCATTAATTCGATATTTAAAATATCATACCACAAACAAACTACATATGCCTGGTATAGTGCAGATCGGTCGCCATATAAACCATCTCAATGGAGTCGTAACCTAAGATTGATAGCCAACAATATTATTAAAAGCCCAAATAAAATACCCCGGAGGTAAAAAAAATCAATTAAAAAAAATGAAACAATAAAAAAAATATTTAAAAAAAGAAAGACAAAAAAAAAAAACTTTTAAAAAAAAAAAAAAAATTTAGGAAAAAAAAAAATGGTTTTTTTTTTAAAAAAAAAAAAAAAAAAAAAAAAAAAAAAAAAAAAAAAAAAAAAAAAATAAATCCAAAAAAGAAATAAAAAAAAAAAAAAAAAAAATTTTTTTTTTTTTAAATAATTATTTTTTTAATAAAAAAAAAAAAAAAAAAAAAAAAAAAAAAAAAAATAAAAAAAAAAAAAAAAAAAAAAAAAAAAAAAAAAGGAGGGGGAAAAAAAAAAATTTATTAAAAAAAAAAAAAAAAAAAAAAAAAAAAAAAAATTTTTTTTTTTTTTTTTTTTTTTTTTTAAAAAATA